TGAGAAATTTCCTGAAAAAATTCTTTTAAGAGAAATGCTTTATAAATTTCAATAAAAAGTAATACTGGCTGCCACGTGAAAGAATGCCAAACGTAGTAACATAAACATTTGTATAGGTCAACTAGTAATGACCACGCACTCTATTCAATGGTTAGTAATGGTCAGTTACCTAAAGCAGGACGTTAATGTATGTATTGATAGTTTCAATGTACTTTCCGATGCCAGGCTGTAGCAGGATGGTTAATCTGCTTGTCCAATAGGCCTTTACAACATCTGGTCGATTTTAGGCTTCATGTAAGTAAATACATTAATTGTTGATAAATCGGATTTCCTTGGTGTATCTAGAATAAAGTGTATTATCGTTTGAATCCATTCTGTTGCTTTTATCTTGCCCGTTCCCTCAATAGAGCCATTGGCGATAATTCATTTCGATTTTCTTCACTTATTTGTTTTTCACTTTATCTTAGCTTTCTAATTGACAAACCATGATGAAACCAAGACCGTCATCAATCTCATTCGCTGAGGAACTTTTTATCGTCTGTTTCCGGTGATTTAAGGCCACCAATGGCTATACACACAGCATGACAAAAACAAATCTTGTCCATGTCGACGGATGAACCTTTTTATATGGCCAACGCCCATCTAGCACAAACAGGGCCCCGTAGCTATGAGTGTGCTGATAACAAGTTATCGCTCGGTGGAAGGTTATCTAGACGTTAAAAGCTAGGTTGGATGGTACCCCAATGGAATCGATGGTCACGTGTCCGTGGTTAAGGCTAGGTTTAAATTTTTGATTTGATTTGGAGAGGGATGGGTACTGACAGCTCTACACCCTTGAGCAAATTAATTGAAACAAAACGAATAATTCTGTTATTATTATTTTTTTTTTCGTATTTTTCCAATGAAACATGACCCAGTGCGCATGTTAGTACTTCGTATGCCCATTTTACGAAATCGTTCCTTGCAGATTGACCACAGAATCTCGACTGGATTTAAGTCAGGAAAATTTCCGAGCCAGTCGATAGTACTTTGATTTGTTCACTGGTAATGCTTGCCATTGTGTTCGTGCAGCGATTGTTAATAAATGCTTTATCGGCAGGGCCGGCCCTAGGGTAACTGGCACCCCGAGCAAGCTGAACTGTGCCTCTCTTACAAGTATATATATATATATATATATATATATATATATATATATATATATATATAACGACCGAAAGGTTATGATAAATATGGCAACAAAGATGAGAACAATAGTCCAAATAATGTAAATAATGTACTTAATACCTCATCTCAGAAATATATATATATATATATATATAATTTTCTCGAGGAGGAAAACTGAAAATGTAGAATAATGAGTTTATTACAATACACAACTTAATACAAGCTGAAGAAAACCTTCATTATCCTACCTAAGATATTTTTTTTAGATCTGCAAATCTTTTCATGGCCCTTTCTACACCTATCTTCTTCACAAGATCATTTTCGATTGACAAAATATCTAAAAAAAAATAATCTGTCTTGAGTCATGGACAAACGCATATATTTTTTATAAGCTTTAGTTAACTAAAGCTTCTCTCTCCGGTAGCCACAATAGGGGATGTGGTAAGCATTATTCTCAATGTCACACACAGATTTGACATGGCATCCTGTAACTTATTAATGTTTATGAATCGAAAGACTTCTATTGGGAGCTTTACATCTGCAGGAAATAATTATTTTGCAATATTCAGTTCAGGCAAGAGATCACATCCATTAGTATCAGAATTTTTTTGCTATCATAACTTATCTTCCAAACCGTGATGTATTACTTTGAATTTAATTTTATCTGCCAGATATTTGGGGTTATTTTAAAATCCCCATGTGCTATTGAAAATGGGTAACTGTTTGAATCTCTCAGGTAAAGAATTAATAGCTCTTCCGAGTATTACATTTAATATTTTGTTTTTTTTATTTAATTTTATTTATTAACTTCACTTTTTTCCTTTTTATTTGGAAGATCGCAAGCACATGACCTGGTGGCGTAAAACCGCCCGCTGCTTATCGATAATTCGTTCGAGAATAATACAGAATATAGGCTGTAAGGCAAGACTTGAAAGAATGTAACCAGTTAACCTTCGTCGCCTTATCCGGAAAGCGATTATGAATTTATTTTTAATAATTTCACCCCAAGCAAGGCGAAAAAGTCACTAAGAAACAAGAGGTTACTGAGTGTTTGAGAATATGAGAAAAATACACTATTAAGGAGAGAAGACACTGAAAGAGCAGAAATTAAGAAACAGGAGATAATGGTTGATGTTGAATTTAAATTTTTGAAGATCAAACTTGATTGGAAAGCAAGAAACTGGAAAAGAGTTCCACATGCGAGAAATGTGATAGAAGAAAATCTTAGCATAGAACTTACGGTTACATCTTGTCATTTCAACTGTAAAATGATGAGACCTTACTGCCAATCTAGTACTATGCTTAAATTCATAAAGTCTAGGTAACAAAGAGGAAAGTTCATCAGAACAAATGCCATGAAATTTTTCATAGAAAAGACACAGTGAATCTACGTTAAAGCGGTAAGAAAGGCACTGAAACCAAGATGCCATGTCAAGATCCATAACATTGCAAATTCTCCTTTGAATTTTACCAAATATCTCTAAATATATATCCGTAGCACCAGACTAGATGTGGCAGCGATATTCAAAAACAAAGACGGATGGTTGACTTATAAATTTGAAAAAATTGTCTCACCTCATTCAGTGAACCAACTTTCCTAGCTGCAGATTTAACAATTGATTCAATATTTTTCACTTTATATAAGAGGAAAATGTTAGGTGTAATGATTCACTCTTCTGCAGGTTAGCATCAGCCATCCGAATGGAAGATAAAAAAGTTTATCTCAGACGATTAAAAGAGAACAGTTTCCTTTTTCAGGCGTTAAAATTAACAAGCCACTCCTTGTCCCATTTAATAATAGATTGCTGGTCAGCTGCCAATATGATCTTATCGAACCGCTTGGATCAACTATCTAGACTGGAGTAAGTGGTAAATTGAATGAAATCGAGACTTGAGAAGTATGTTTCAATGAGAATAACCGGTTGGTCTTCGTAAATCTATCGGTAAGACGTTCAAGAATACATGTATGTATGGATTATGGATTCTCTCGCGCTGTCAGCCAACGCATGAGTATTCTGTCGACACATTACCGATGAGTCCTTTCGTGAGAGTAGAGTCCGATTCTAGAACCTCAAGCACTATTGCAGATGATGTATTGATAAAGTGAGTTCTGAGTGTTAATGTTGATCTTCCTCTTGGAATGTTTCTCATTAAGGAGACTGGTACGCCTGTTCTCAAAGACATTGATAACCTCTTTGAAAGTTCTCCTCCCGAATGCACGGGCTTGGGTAGTACTTTCTCAGCTATCAAGGTCGATGCCATATCTCTTGTGATTGTATTTAACAGTGTCCTTGTACCTCGGTTTCTGTCTGCCTAGTCGTTTGTTGCCTCGCTCTAATTCATTGAAGAAGATTGCATAAGAACACCGTAATTCATCATGTATAATACGCATTTTTTTCTAAAAAAATAATAAGCAAAATTAGGGGTGCGTATTATGCACAGCTCCAAAAATCTTCAAAAAATTGCCATTTCATAGGTCGATTTCAGCTGCGAAATGACGACTCAGCACAAACATACAATTTGACACTAACATTCAGCGATTGCGACCCCATAAGGATGTCAAATACAATCATATGTATCTAACAATACTTACAAATGTAAAATAAAATAAGAATTATCATAAAACTAAATTAGAATAATATTATTCTATGCTTAAACCATTTTTTAAATAAGAGTAGGAAACGCTGACAGTAATGAAATTGGAGAAGTACAAAATATAGTTTTTGATTATCAAACAAGGGGTGCGTATTATGCGTGAGTGGAAACATTTTCCCACATTTTCAGCACAATTTTAGGGGTGCGCATTATGGATAAAGGCGTATTATACATGGGGAATTATGGTAAATAATACTGGTTAAAAGGTCTTTGGGGTTGATTCCATGTTGATTTGCTGCACTTCCACGTGAGGCTACAGTTAGCCCTACATAACACTTATCCTACGATATTTGACACGCCTGCGAAAGTGCTTTGATTGCCGTAGGCCTTACCCTGATTCATGGGGAGGAATGGGTCATTACCTTACCGCGCCGGACCAATGCGTGCTGGTAAGGGACGAGATGTGACAAACATGTGCGATCATGTCTCTTTTCAATTCATGATCGCCTAAGAGTATTTGCACAAGTGAATTTAACGAACCCGGCTCTCCGATTTCTCATTCCGAGCCGTTATCCATTACACCACACACACATCCAAGGTTACAGTACCTGGTATTCCCAAGCGGTCACCCATCTGGCTACAAACAAGACTCCGCGTTGCTTAACTTCGCTGATTGGGTATAAATAATGTAAGTTCTTTGGTGCAACATTTCCTATAGAAATGCGTTTGAAATCTGTAATCTCTTAATTTCTAGTTCTTTGATGTCTTTTTCCTTGGCTCATCATGATCAATCCCAGTGCTTCGATGCCGACTGGTACTGCTGTCGACATCTTATTCGACACTTATTCAGTTTTCATTTTCTTCCTTATCTACTCTGTGGTTAAGCAAAATGGCGGAATAAAATGCTTTTCTTTTCATTAGCAATCATGGCCCTCCACAGTTTCCTTTTTCTTTATTATCGGTAAATACATTATTGAGTGCGAGAGTGAAGTGGTTTGCCTTTGCCTTCACCACGGTTTAAAAATTAGATTGTTTTTTTTTTTGATTGATTGAATTTTTTTACGGCTTATCAACCCTTTGTAGGTAATTTAAAGCCAGAAAATATTTTTAGATTAAGCGGCTTTTGTAAGGGGGATATAATAATAGTTTAGTGATACAAGTCTTGCTAATTAACCCAAACCGGGGGGTGAGAAGAGTTGGATTCATACCTTTCCCGGCATCCATTGCACTTCCTGCACATCCAACCTGGTATTCTCAAACGATCACTCATCTAGGTACTGAACAGGTTCAACCTTGCTTAACTTCGACGATCGTACGGGAACCTGTGTTTTAATGTGCCCATAAGCCTTAAAAATTAGCGAAATAAGTTGTATTTTTAATGTCATGTCTATTTTAGATGTAGGTGATTATGGCTCGCCGGAGCTTCTTTTCTTTAATTATCTGTGAAAGGTTACGACTTTTGGGAAAAGATTGTGGAATGGTTTTCCGCTGACATCTTCACGGAATTGAATTCAGACTAAAATTACAAAATGTTTTAATTTCATGCATGACAGTTGCTTGATTTTCCATTGCTTTCTTCGCGGTTTGGAATTCAGTGACTTGTTTCCCACAGACTGACTTAACATTGTCTCAACTCCCACATTTTTCACGGTCCTATAATTGCACGCTCTAATTGCGATGTTATCTTTAGTAACGTATCTCATTAAAGAACGAAATGATGCGTCACATGACACTCTTCAGTATTTCTATATTATCCAATTTACCTACCATGAAGCTGTGTCCAGCGATCAGGCAATGAATCAGCGTTCTTCACATCACAAGTAAAAAAATTAACTTTCAGATGAACACAGCAATTTTTCTTTAAAAATGATGAACACTAAAATATTTACACTATTTACATTATTCTGACTATTATCCTCATCTTTGTTGCCGTATTGTGCGAAACTAATTTATACCCCGAGCTATTTGAACTACTTAGTATTTACGAATTTCACATCTGAATTTTTATAATGGATTCAGAGCATGTACCATCACAGCTTTCATTTTAATGCTAGATCATAGTTTCTATTTATATTATTCGGACTATTATCCTCATCTTTGTCGCCCTATTTATCACAGCATTTCGGCCGTTGTACGCTCCGGCTTTCTTCGGGTGGTTGGAATGTCGAACTGAACCGTTTATTTCGCTCACTGGGGTAGACTGTTCTATTTCCACGTGCCATGTCTAATGGATGTCAGTTATCAGTTATCTTCAAGGACACATAGCACAGTGGATAAAGGCGTTAGTTAGATCCAGTGACAGGACACAAAATGTGTGAGTTCAATACCCGGTTAAGGTGGCGGAGAACTTGGAGAGGATAATTAACAGCAGATAACTGATAACTAACATCCATTTGACTTGAAATAAACAACACCCTCAGATGACATTGTGTTTAGTCGGTAGTATTCGCAATAAAATAATATATATCAATCCGAGATTTTCTCTCGTCCTTCAATAATGACACCTAAAAGCTTGTCCGTCCATGAATATGAAAGGCTCTAATTGAAAATTAATTATTTAATGAAACGTCTCTCTCTCTCTCTATCTATCTATCATATGGAATATTAGTGTCTAATATATATATATATATATATATATATATATATATATATATATATAATTATTTTTATTTTAAAAAAAATTTATAACATAAGTATGTTATAAAATCACTACAAAAATAGCCATTTTGTTTCAACACACTCTGTGTCTTATCAAGTGATGGTGTTGAAAAAAAAATAAATGGTTTTAAAAGTTTCAGATTAATTAACGATCCTACACTAGGGGAGCATTGTTACAAAAGCTAGAATAACCAATCAAAAACGAAGTACAGAAAGATTCAAAAGCTTGACAACAAAAATCCTGCTATTATAGCTATTTAGATCTTTAAATACGTGTAATATTAAAATAATTTATACTAACTAATAATTATAAATTTATATGATAAAATTTAATATTAAAATTAAAAACTGGCAATTTTAAAATCCAAATTTAATCACTATTAAGTTTAAAAAACTACAAAATTATTGAGAAAAGAAAATATATATGTTTATTCAATTCATTTCTTCATTGAAATTACGTCTGACAAGACAAAAAAGCTACAATTCGTCTGGTCATCTGATAATACATGTATATATTTTTTTTTTTTCCGTTTTTATTTTAAAGTTTGTGAATATGGTCTTAAACACACACGTGACACAACAAAAAATCACAATCAGATTATAATACATACGCATCCAGACATAATTAGACACACACACCCACACACACACACACACACACACACACACACATACACACACACACACACACACACACACAAATATAAAAAAAAAAAAAAAAAAAAAAAAAAAAAAGGAAGAGGTGGGGGAATACATGAACAACTCCACAGCCCTTTACGAAAAAGGAGACGTGAAACTAACACATATACACACACACAGTTAAATGTGAATACACTCTACATACACATAGACACCGATATATACACAAACATACATCCACAATGGCATAGACATTGAGAAATCACAACCAGTAAATATTTCAGACTTAAATAAATGCTAACCACTTATTGAATTATAACTTAAGGGAGCAAATATATAAAGATAAAAATGTTTAATATATATATATGTTTTATATATATATATATATATAAGCGCGTGGTTGAGTGGTTAGAACGTCACAACAATAAGAAAGATCATCCTTTCTACTTAGAGCTAAAGAGATAAATTAGAAAAGATCCAACTCGATACATCAGACTTTTGGTACATGACAGAGATGTTGTTACTTTGACAGATCCAAAGAGCTGTGAAAAAAGACTTAAAAATGAAATCATACGTGAAACCTATGAGGAACTTTGTTACTCCAGGACACAAAATTAGAAGTTTAGAGAGAGCGAAGATCATCTTGAATAACTTTGAAAATGATCATGGAACAATATTCTACACAGATGAGAAGAATTTTACACAGAATGCGTTCACGAACAGACGCAATTCCCGTATTCTGTCTTCAGATCCTCACGAGAGAGACAAGAATGTAAATTTCAAGAGCAACAATACCTGGCAATGCTAATGTTTTTTGCCTGTGTAGCCTCTGATGGCGAGAAGATGCCATTGATCATGTCTCCGAAGGATGGTAGACTGACAGGAGTTCGCTATGTTCAAATTTTGAAAAAGGTAAATACCTGGATTCATTCTGAATATCCTGACCAAGAGACAATGGAAACCCTAACAAGATCAATAAGGCCTTCAAATTTATATTCCAGCAAGAGCTCCTTGTCCCACTAGCGCAGTGATTCAATAATTCTCAGGGATGAGTTCGCGAACAGGTTTTTGGATAAGGAAACTTGACCTCCTTCATCAACTGATTTAAACTCCTTAGACTTCAGCATCTGGAATTAACTGGTCATAAAAGCTTGTAAGATGCCCTACAGTAACCTGCAAGCCCTCAAAAAGTCCATCAATAAAACCTGAGTGGAGAATATTGATGAAGAATTCATTAAAAAAAGTTTGTTATGCATTCAGGGAGATGGTTGAGGATGTTATTGCCAAATGCGGAACAACTCTTGATCCCTAACAGTTTGGATTTGTGCCAGAATTGCTCTTATCAATTAGAAGTAAATACCGGTATTAACCGCTTCCATTTGAACTTTATTTCAATCCTCCATGAGCTTTGGATCCTTAGCAATGATTAATTAATAATGAACATGTCATTTTCGTTTATGATCAATTTCATCACGATTCTTCTGTTAAACTTGGAGAGTAATTATACATTCTTATTTTCCAAAGTAGAGTCAAAAGCTATTATAAAAACCTCGAAGCATTAATGTAAGATATCTTTAATCATTTCTAAGATACAACGGTTCATAGCTTAATCTAACAATTGGACAATTTTGCTGTTGCACTATTTTGATGTTACACCCGATATTATTACTGTTACACCACAAACTCGCTTTCATGACGAATGACACTACATTTGAGTGATAACTCTAACATTTTTAAGCATTTAAAACAACATGCCCGGCCGCATACACAATTCCAAAAAATCCTTGTTGAAAACACAACTATACTTAAACATGAAAACAATAAACAAAAACTAAAAATTTTCAAGCTATATACATAAAACAGTTGAAACCTAACCTGAACGAAATAAACTAGGAAATCTCCACAAATATTCTTAAATGCCTATAATTTATAACAGAAGCCATTGGTTTATATCAACGGCTTCACATACTTAATATTTCTCGTTTTCACACTGGCTTGGTTATGTGTGACGTCAGGAGTAGCGGTGCGATTTTCGCTTCCAGCGTCGTTGCTTGGAAATCTTCCATGTAAACATAAACAGACTATCATTATTGTTTTGTCCGTGTATTGGTTAATATATTGTAATGTAATTGTCATCTTTGATAATGGTTTATGTAAGCCGAAAGCTTAGCTAGGATTAAAAAAATGTATCAATATTGTGATTTTCTTTCTTCTTTAAATGATAATGTTATTAAGCTTATCAGACGATATGAAAAGAATTTACGTAAAATAAATAGATAAAACTTCTCTATATTATTTAATGAAACACACACAAACGCACAAACACACACACACACACACACACACACACACACACACACACACACACATATATATATATAATGCATTGTATTATTTTTATCTTGCATTTGTACAAGTGATCTCTTTATCGATTTTCTGAATCGGAAGCTCATAAAGAATTGAAATAAAGTTAAAAAATATATATAGGATCATTTTCCGAATTATCAAGATGATCTTCGCCCTCTCTAACCTTCTAACTTCCTGTCCTGCAGTAACGAGGTGCCTCACATTTTTCACGTACGATTTCATTTTCAAGTCTTTTTTCAATGCTCTTTGGACTGTCATTGCTAAAACTTCTCACTCACGTTCCAAGCGTCTTATGGATTCAGTTGGATCTTTTCTAATTGGTCTCTTTAGCACGAAGTTGAAATAATGATCCCTCTTGCTGTTGTGACCTTGTGATCCAGTTTTTCTCTCAACTGTTCCCTTCTTTTGAAACTTATTCACCGTTCTCTTGATAGTTCTTAAATGAAATCCAGAGTATGAATGTTGGTACCATTACTGAAGGCTTCAGTGAAATTTTCCTCTCACCATTTCTCAGTTGGGAAGATATAGTGGGGCTAACAAAATCATTTTAAACTGTTCTCTTTCTAGCCAAATAACTCAAATGTCTTTCCATGATTTTTACAAGAAATGGTGTCAAGATGGCTAAATATCTGATCTGAAAACCTGGGAAAAAGAAACAAATGGTTTAGTGGTT